AAGCTTCAGTGGGGAGTGTTCCTGTGAGAGAGAGGGGGGCTGACTGACTTCAGGACCCTCCAAAACTAAGGAGAACTTTAAAAATTCCTAAACTGAATGTAAAATAGATAGCCAACGGGAATCTGCTGTACAGCTCAGGAAACTCAAACAGGGGCTCTGTATCAACCTAGATGGGTGGGATGGGGCGGGAGATGGGAGGGAGGTTCAAATCGGAGGGGATATATGTATTCCTATGGCTAATTCATGTTGAGGTTTGACAGAAAACAGCAAAATTCTATAAAGCAGTTATCCTTCAATGAAAAAATAAATTACAAAAAAAAAATACAAAAGAAAAAAATAGTAGAAAGTAAGGTTAAACCAAGTAATTTTATTTGCCTTTTTTGTTTGTTTTTGCTCTTAGTAATATGAGTTGTGAAGTAAGCCTTTTCTCCTCTTTTGCTTAGCTGGTTTCCACATCTGAAAATGACTGAGCTAGTTCAGCATGGGAGTAAATACTATATTTGTAATCTTAAAGGAAATAAAGAGATTATTAGGGAAAAAACAAGATTCCTAAATTAGGAAGCACAGAGTATCAGGAAAATACTTGCTGAAAGGTAGATGAGGGGAAGTAAAAGATAACTAATTTAGATCATTACTGAGCCAGTCAGGGTCAGTGGGAAAAAAAAAAAGATCTGTTTTCAGGTTCTTAAAGCAGACATGGTGGGAGGGGCAGAGAAAAAGGAAAGAAAGAAAAGGGAGAAGAGGCGAATACAAAATTTATGGTGAGTATCCAGGGGACTATAATTTGTAGTTAAAACTGTTTTTTGTTTTTTCTATTCCAAACACAATTGAGTTTATTTCCCTGTTCGAGGTGCTGGCATAAACAAATGCTCAGTGTGAAGAAATAATGTTATAGGGTGGCTCTTGATCCGAAGAATCTGTTTCCTTCAAGGAGAGATGTTCAAGTCAGTAACTTGAAGGAGAACTGAACCTAGATAGAACTTTAAATTGCATGCGTGGTGACACACTGAGGCATTTTCAGAAATTTTATCTCCATTTCTCTGAACTCAGATTTAGAGACAATACAGCCTCTTGGAACCCATCACAATTTAGATATTTAGAGGCATTAAAACTCGCACTTTCTTTTCGTCTTCTCCAAAATCACTTGGGTTTACTTTTTAAATTCCTGGGTACTACTGAAGGTTTAAAAATAAAAAAGAAGAGACAAAAAACCCCCAAAAAACATCTTCTGAGACTCCTCTGAGATGAGCAAGTCAAATAAAATGTCGTGTGGTATTGACTCTGAACCAGCCACTTTTCTTAGGTGTTGAACCCACAGTGTAGAATTTGTACCCACAGAAGATTCATCTCCACGTGGTCAGTGGTAGTGGAAAGGAGGCCAGAACCCAGCAGAATCATCAATCTCTTGACCACAGTAGACCCCCCCCCCCACCAACACTTACTCAAGAAATAGGAAGTTAGACATCTAACAGCGCAGTGTGTCCATAACGTGGAGATGCAAGCAGGCTGAGGATGTCAGTTCATATTTGTTAGCAAGGAGATGGTATAATAGGATCTCATTTTGTTAAAGACCTGTCTGCCTGGCGGCATGTGGATGAGATTCCAGCAGTAGCCCGTGCTGGACCTCCTCACTCCGCTCTTGCTGCTCTGTACTGCGTTCATCATGCAGCAGCCAGAGTGTGCGCTGCGAAGGGGGTGAGTGAGAGCGTTCCAGTCTGCATTAAAGCCCTGTGTTGGCTTTCCATCGCTCACAGATGCTAACAAAGTTTATGGCCTTGGATCTGGCATGACCTGCCTCTTGCCCACCTCTCTGGGTCTACTTCTGTCCCTGCTCTTAATTCTGCCTTTCTTTCAGTTCCTGCAGTGGATAAGCTTGCTCTGTGCTCAGGCTCTTTAACCAGCTTCTGATCTTCCTGGCATGGTCTTCCCTACACCTTCCCATGACCCTTCCTCCTTAATCGCGTCTCAGCTCTGAGGCCACCTCATCAGGGAGGACCCCTCCCTCACCTCCCCCGTCAGTTATCACCACCTCATCCTGTTGTGTTTTGTTCATAGCTCTTGATGCTTTGAAACTGTTTGTTTACTTGTTTGTGGTTGATTTCCCTGAAAGAACATAAGCACCACGAGGGTGAGACCTTGTCTATCTTTTGTTTACTGTTCTGTCATTGTCAATGGTCAAAGAACAGTCACTAGATGAGGAAAAGTGTGGAATGATATACCCCACAAACAGCAGTAGTAAAGATTACTGAGAGAAGGACGAAAGTAACTTGGATTTTTTTCTTCCTTTTTTTCATTTGTATCAATAGTTCCTAATTTTTCCTGCAGAAAAGTTGTGTACACAACATAATTCACTAAATTACTCAAATGCTTAGCCAGGCTCAAGGAGGTGTTTTTAAAGCTCCCAGAAAGAGAATGTGGTGCTGAACGCTAAGCAGTGGGTGCCGAATAAATGCTCACTGGGTCCACAGAAACCTCTTTTCCGAGGGAAGACGTTTGCCACCGAGTTCTGTAGTTGGGTGCCCACCCGAATCCGTGTGAGGAAGGGAAGCCCGGTGACCTGCCTCGGGGTGCGGGTGTAGGGGCCTCGGTCCTGGAGCTTCTGACCTTCATCCGCAGGGTGTGCCCTTCTCTGGCAATCCCAGCGTCCTTTGCTCCAGGGAAAATCCTTTATAAACAGCCACACTTGGAGCATGCGATGTGCTTCAGTCCATGCTGCTTTTTTCAAAGAGGACGTGGAGCCTCTGGCCTCGTGTAACTGAGGGTCTGAGTGAACCGCCTGCCTGTTTTCTTCCAGGAAAAGAACCTGCCATGTCAGTTTGTGCTTTCCAAGTCATTTGATGTTAACAGTCACTTGGCCAATGCGGATTGTTTTGACTAATGCTTTGTATTTTAGAAATCTATCAGGTAGCATAGTTATGGTCTTAGAATAGTGAATTCTTTGCCATGTGGTGTCTTTTTCCACTTTTTTTCCCCTTTTTGTGCATAGTTCAAATCTGAGCTGGTAACCTGGCCATTCATTTCACTATCGTGCAGTACTTTTTTGGACTGCTAAATACTTAAGTGGTCCAGTATCTTAAGAAAAATAGATACTCCTCAGCTATGACGCTGGGTGGTTATGGTTGTACCTGGTTGGCAAAGTCTCCATCCTCTGTGTTTTAACTCTAAGGTTACATTCTGGAAATCTGTGTTAACTGGGGACAGGGACATGGAGGTGGCAGGGATGGAGGAATAGAAAGTTTGATGAAGAGCTTAAACAGAAAGAAACTATTACATAAAATCACAAAATCATGGTTTTTTTTTTTTTTCACATGAATCTGCTTCATTTCACATTCAATAGAAGATCCCGTCACTACCGTAGCCCTAAAATACTTTGTACGTTTCATGTCCTTGTAGCTTAAGTCAGACTGACTGTTCCTTCCAAATTTAGGGGTAGACAGCTAGACGGTGAGCAGTGAAAACGTGTTCTATTATTTATACTACAAATACCAGGCAGTTCATAGGAAAAAACCATTGTTCAGTGCTCTGCGAGAGCAGTCCCATGAGATGTGTGCCAGGAGAGGGAGTGATTTATGTTCCGGAGCCTCTCATGGCAGGGAGCAGCCCTCCAGACTGCTTCCATAGCCGTGCCTGGGCGTGCAGTTGGTTAGAACTACTTCCTGTCTGAACATAGGCGCTGCTTAAAGGAAAACACTTCACACTGGGACTTGTGATCCTTCTTGACTGTGCGTAGCTATAACAGCTCCATGCAAACCTACAGTTCTAATAATCTGCAAAACTCAGAGGCTTCCTCACTCCCACCAAGATCTCCTGTACTCTCTGAGGTTCCCTGGTATTTCCTCTTCCCCCCCAAACCCTTCTGCTTTGGCTTCGTAGAAACATGAGACACCCAAGAGAATCATCGCAAGAGTACTTGCGATCAGGTGAGCCAAGACAACTCCAAAGAAAAGTTGACTTACTCCAGTGGTAGGGATACCCATTGCCTACCCCTCGAAAAAGTGAAGCTCTAGTTGGGTGTACCCGGGGCCCTTGGGAGACGCCAGAGGCATGGCCTGGGTCCCCGGGACCCCAAGCACCAGAAGGCTGCCGCCTGCTTGTCTCAAAGACCCAGCAGTGGGGCCAGCTATTGTGAAGCCCCTCTGCCAGATGAACAGGGACCCGTCTCTGGTCACAATAGCCATTCACGCTGAGCAGCCTCATTAAATATTCAGCCGGTGCTTCCGGCAGCTCATTAGGGCAGCAGTGAGCGGTGACGTGGCCGCGGGAACACCGAGGGCCGGCCGGCGGCAGCAGGCAGAGGCTGAGCGAGCCGCCGATGGCTTTTCTGCTCCCCGCCTGTCCAGTGATGACCAGTGTCTGCTCCCTGCTTTGTCTCAAGTCCAGGTAAAAATCAGACAGAACCCCTGACATGCAGACGACACTCGACAGCGTGGGGTGCGGGTCTCTGATGTGGTCTGGCCAGGGTGCTTGCCTCTGGAAGCCCTCTGACACCCGTGAAGAGCTGTCTGGGGCTCGGGGTGGGGGCCTCCGCTGAGCGCTAACAATAGGGTGCTATTGTGTGCTTGGGCCATTCGATGACTGCATTTGGGAGGGTTCGAGGTATGGTGTGAACTTGGGTGCTGAGAGGTTAGAATAGCGAATGATTCTTCCTCTGAACAGGATGAATTGGGGAAGATTGTGAGCTAATCCTTGCAGTTCATACAGCAAGTTTCCTCAGTTCATGCCAACTTTTCATGTGTCTGAGTGGCTCATGACTAACTTCTGTCCCTTTTAACTCTCAGGATGGGTACAGTGTAATAAAAAGTGGATATTCTTCAGCTGCTGGGGGGGGCCTTCCAATCTGCTGGACATCTTCCTCCTGTATCTTTTTCCTTTACCATGGGTATGTGCTCAGTGCTGGGTGAAACAGAAAGCTGGGAGAGTCTGAAAGAATTGAAAGATGGTGAACTCAGACAAAGTGTATTTCTCTTCTCTCACTGTTTGTTTCTCTCTTTCCTGCACAGAAAATGTTTTCAGACAGCTCATTTCTACGTGGAAGATAGCAGTTCACCTCGGGTGGTCCCCAATGAAAGTATTCCAATCATTCCTATTCCTGGTAAGTAAGACACAACTCCTGTTTCCAGTGGGCTAATTGTTTTTCTTTTTTGTTCTCAGTGTTATGTGACAGCCGTGACAAAATATTATTTTTATAGTCTTTTCAAGCTCGCCCAGTCTAAGAGAGCCTAACTAAGGGTAATTTAATGAAATCTTTGCTCCTTTACATATCTTCCATGTAATGAAATCATCTTTCAGAGAACAGATGACTATGAGTTCACATGATGTAGAGTCTCATGAAGAAAGGGAAGAAAGAGTAGAAAAAAGGGGAAAACATACTTATGTATTTGCAGTCTACTTGGACTCAATTTTGTTATAACAGGCAATGTGTGCTTGCTTTAAAAAAAATTGAAATACTGTTACATATATATATTTTAAAGTTTTATCCTAAGCTTCCTTACTCTGAAAATAATTACATGATGGTTGAAAGTTTTCGTACTTAGGCTCTTTGTATGGGGATCTAGAGAGATGTTCTTGGTCTGGTATCTGTTTCATTTGTCCTTGGTACAAATAGGGAATGCTCAGGTGCTGTTGGGGTAGGGATTGGTGAAAAGTGTTAGTCACTCAGCCATGTCCAGCTCTTTGCGACACCATGGACTGTAGCCCACCAGGCTCCCCTGTCCTTGGAATTCTCCAGGCCAGAATACTGGAGTGGGTAGCCATTCCCTTCTCCAGGGATCTTCCCGACCCAGGGATCAAACCCAGGTCTCCTGCACTGCAGGCAGGACGCTATTGAATCTCAGCTGATGCCACAGAGGGGAGAAGTTCGTCAGTGGCTTAACTCTGATAGATGGTGTGAGTGATTTGAAGGTGGCCCCCAGTGTTTTTTGGGTTTCTCTGGGGGCTCAGATGGTAAAAAATCTGCCTGCAACGCGGGAGACCCAAGTTCGATCCCTGGGTCAGGAAGATCCCTGGAGAAGGGAATGGCTACCCACTCCAGTATTCTTGCCTGGAGAATTCCATTCCACCAGGACAGAGGAACCTGGTGGGCTACAGTCCACGGGGTCGCAAAGGGTCAGACACGACTGAGCAGCTAACACTCACTTCTTCACTTCTCCATCGTTTTTATTTGCAGTCCTCTTCCTGTTGTGCGAGAATCAAGCGTTCTTCCTCTGGGTTGCATTCTGTACTTGGAAACACGTATTTTAATTGTATACATTCATCCTTTTGTATTTTACAATGGAGTAGTGCAGCCTATTAACAATGTTGTCACGGTTTCAGGTATACAATAAAGTGACTCAGCCATATATAACACCCGTATCCATGCTCCCCTAAACTCCCCTCCCATCCAGGCTGCTAGGTAACACTGAGCCGAGTTCCCTGTGCTGTATGGTAGGTCCTTGTTGGTTATCCATTTTATTTAAATATTTATTTTACTCATCTGTCTGCAGCAGGTTTCAGTTGTCAGATCTTTAGTGGACACCTGGGATCTAGTTCCCTGACCAGGAGTTGAACCCGGGCCCCCTGCATTGGGGGCACAGTCTTAACCACTGGACCACCAGGGAAGTCCCAGTTATCCATTTTACATATAGCAGCGTGTACATGGATCCTCTTGACGTCATTCTTTTGTAAGCAGAGGTGCCGTCTCCCACTCCCCTGCAGACCCTGGATCCCAGCTGTCTGCCTCATTCTCTAAAATGGTTTTTTTCATCCTCTAGTACACCATACTTTTTACTTGGCTTGTGGTCTCCCCCAACTACAATGAGAGCTTCCCGAAGGCAAATGGATGTCTCTTAGTGCAAGAATAAACACCTGGCACATGGTAGGCATTCTCGAACTCTCTGGATGAATGATGAATATGAGCAAAGCTTCCTTACAGTTCTTTCAAGACCTTTGCCATGAGGCTCGGAGATGCAGTACTTTTCTGAGTCCCCAGAAGGAATGCTGCTGTTGTTTGCACGTCTTCTCTAGATATGGTTGGGGACCGGTTTGGCCCTATATGTCTCTATAGGTTAAGACATTAGATATTGCTGGAATTGGCCATGTTCTCACCATTCTGTGAGCTTCTCTCACTAAAGCTTGTCACACAGCAATGAGAGGGTAGCAGAAAAGTCCCTGGGTAAGTCCCCCAGTGGATCGTTCTGTGGCTGCTAAACAATTCCCATACAGATGGGTAGGTTTTGTGTTAGGTTTGTTCTTCTCCACTAACCCTCACCCTTTATTACATTCTTTGCGTTTAGAGGAGGCAGACAGGAACCAGCCCCCCATCCCCCTGGAATAAGTTTTGTTGACTGTACCGCATTTGTGCAGCAGTGCGTGTATAATCATTTTCCTCTCGCATCACCTAGAATATGTGTTGACCTCTGGAAAATGCCCGAGGCTTCTCCCCTCTGAATTGATTCAGCCAACAAACACAGCTGTTTCATAGCTATGCGATTGAAATCCATTTTAAAAGGTTAAGTGGTAAGATACTTCTTGCACTGTCTTTGCATTTTTAGTTTCTTTCCCCCTGGATAGGGAATCAGAACACCAAGGATCTCACCCTGCCTCCACCATGAAACCTAGGTCAATGACTTGACCTCTCTGAGCCTAGTTTCCAGAATCTGCAAAGTGAGCGGGATATTAAAGATCGCATGAGGTGGTACACATCAGGGCAGTTTGGAAACATTCATGGAAGCCGGAGTTGTCAGCTGTGGATGCTCACCTTCCCAAATCGCAGCATTTGTGGACAGCAGCTCACCTTCCCAAATCGCAGCATTTGTGGACAGCAAGCATTTGCACAGTCCCCAGGTTAAGACTGTCCCAAACACGGACCCACATCCACTGGGTACAGCCGGCTTCACTGTGTCCTTGGGCTTGGTTAGGACTTTCAGTTCCCTGGAATCCTCAGAAAAGGTCATCAGTCGTGGCCGCTTCACTACACCTCTGAGTAGGTGTCTTAGACCAGAAATGCTCTTTGAATGTTCTCTGCTTCATTTCCCAGCAGCAAGTAAGAAACTCACAATCCAATAGCATATCTATTTAAATGTGAGAGTCTCATTCACTGATGGTAGAAATACGTGAAAGGAACAATTCCACGGCGTAAGATTCTCCACTAGCTGAGAAATCCACGGAATCCAGTTGAACCTCCCTTGGCGTAGTAGATGCATCCTTTTTTTGAAATAAGATATTTAATATAGGTCCCTGTGCTATATAGTAAATCCTTGTTGCTTACCTAGTTTATTAATGTTCTGGCCACGCCACAAGGCATGTGGGGTTTTAGTGCCCCAACCAGGGATTGAACCCTTGCCCTGTGCATTGCAAGTGAAGTGTTCTAACCATTGGATTGCTAGGGAAATCCTAGTAGACACATCCCCTTGATGAGTTCTGACACATTTGTGAGAATGAATGACTTTAAATGCTGCAGTGTTAGAGGACTTACCTGGAGAAACCAAATGTGAGATGTTTCTTGTAGGGTTTCCTCAGGTTTTTATAGATAGCAGTAGCCTTCCGTGGGGATGTGCCTAGACAGATAACTTATATCACCCTTCACCGAGAAGTTACCTTATATGACCTTTCTTTAAAAATCTTTCAACCAGATCACAATCCCTTATTTTTCTTAAAACTACACAGTCCTATTTAGTAAATTTGTAGCATAGTTTGTAATTTCATTAAGTTTCAGCACAGTTTTTCTTTAATTGAGACCTCCTTAGTATCCTTTTAAATGATTTACCTTAGGAATTACCTAATTTTTATAATTTTTTCTATGTGGACCAGTTTTACAGTCTTTATTGAATTTGTTACAGCACTGCTTCTGTTTTGTCTCTTGGTTTTTTGGCCATGAGGCATATGGAATCTTAGTTCCCCAAACAGGGATCAAACCTGTACCTCCTGCATGGGAAGGCGAAATCTTTTTTTTTTTTTTTTGGATTTTAACCCCTTATTTTTTTTTTTAATTTATTTACTTATTTTACTTTACAATATTGTATTGGTTTGGCCATACATTGACTTGAATCCACCATGGGTGTACATGTGTTCCCCATCCTGAACCCCCTCCCACCTCCCTCCCCATCCCATGCCTCAGCGCCATCCCAGTGCACCAGCCCTGAGCACCCTGTCTCATGCATCAAACCTGGACTGGCGACTCGTTTCACATATGATAATTTACATGTTTCAATGCCATTCTCCCATATCATCCTGCCCTCGCGCTCTCCCACAGAGCCCAAAAGACTGTTCTATATATCTGCGTCTCTTTTGCTGTCTTGCTTATAGGGTTATCGTTACCATCTTTCTAAATTCCATATATATGCATTAGTATACTGTATTGATGTTTTTCTTTCTGGCTTACTTCACTCTATATAGTAGGCTCCAGTTTGATCCACCTTAGAACTGATTCAAATGAATTCTTTTTAATGTCTGAGTAATATTCCATGGTGTATATGTACCACAGCTTTCTTATCCATTCATCTGCTGATGGACATCTAGGTTGCTTCCATGTCCTGGTTATTGTAAACAGTGCTGAGATGAACATTGGGGTACATGTGTCTCTTTCAACTCTGGTTTCCTCAGTTTGTATGCCCAGAAGTGGGATTGCTGGGTCATATGGCAGTTCTATTCCCAGTTTTTTAAGGAATCTCCACACTGTTCTCCATAGTGGCTGTACTAGTTTGCATTCCTACCAACAGTGTAAGCGGGTTCCCTTTTCTCCACACCCTGTCCAGCATTTATTGCTTGTAGACTTTTGGATAGCAGTTGTTCTGACTGGCGTGAAATGGTACCTCATTGTGGTTTTGATTTTCATTTCTCTGATAATGAGTGATGTTGAGCATCTTTTCATGTGTTTGTTAGCCATTTGTATGTCTTCTTTGGAGAAATGTCTGTTTAGTTCTTTGGCCTGATTTTTGATTGGGTGATTTATTTTTCTGGAATTGAGCTGCAGGAGTTGCTTGTATATTTTTGAGATTAATTCTTTGTCCGTTGCTTTGTTTGCTATTATTTTCTCCCATTCTGAAGGCTGTCTTTTCACCTTGCTTATAGTTTTATTTGTTGTGCAGAAGCTTTTAATTTTAATTAGGTCCCATT